GGGGGGGGGGGGGTTCTGGCTTATGCTCTACGCTCCTGCCTGTAATCCCTTTAAACCATTCAGCACTGGAAATGTACTAGACAGTTTACTTTAATTAATAAAAAAATTGCGGTATAATTAATACTTATAATTAAGCGATCAAGCAATCGCAACCTTACTCTTTTAAGACTTCACATAGACAAAAGATTTGTGCACTTTAAAGTCCTCTTTAACATGAAATGGAGTTTGTAAATCTTTGGAACTTATCAATCTCACCAGTCTGCTCTCCCCAAACATATCTATTTCAATCTATTCATTCTGTCCTGACAAGCTTTCACCCACTTGTCCAATGTCTACAGGACAAGTTAAAACTATTAGGCTACAACGAGCAAATGTTGTCCACCAATTTGGAAGTTATTTTTACATCTCGACATTATTGTATTGAGTAAAAATAAACCAGTTATTCAGTTTGCTGAATAATTTCCACAATGAACATGTACTAAAATTCAAATAACATCATAAATTGGAAGGCAAAGTTCACGACTCAGTTTCCTTCTTTCATATGTACTGATGATCAGCCACTGTATTGCCTAACGCACTCTAGGCAAGAAAATGGCCAGTACAATGGTCAGTATAGAGCGGTCAGTATACAAGGCCAGTATACAGTGGTCAGTATACAGTGGTCAGCATACAGTGGTTAGTATACAGTGGTCAGTATACAGTGGTCAGTATACAGTGGTCAGCATACAGTGGTCAGATTTTAAACCCACTATATCGGAAATATTTTCTGCCATACTCGGTATTTGGTCGTGGCAAAAAGAGAGACGAATTTGAACCTCGTAAATTATAACTGTGGATATGGTTAGAATTCTGGAACATTGATGAGAACCTCGACGGTGCCAAATTATTGACAACCTTAAACATGATCGAGCCGGGCCATAATACGTTTTCGCCTTTCTTCCAAGCTTTTCCACCCTAGATTGTGATTGCCCAGGCTCATCTTTAAAGTTCATTATACTTCTAGCACATCTGTTGTAAAGTTTTTGCAGTCGTTCAGACTGGCTTCTACTAATGAAATTCCAAACTTCACAACAGTAGTTGAAATGGGGTTGGACAAGACCATAGACCATACTAAACACGACCATAACTATACTAAGACAAGACCATATACTAAGACAAGACCATACTAAACACATAATTTATGATACTTGATGTCTAAAAACTGTTCATTTGCTTTAAGCACTTTTAAAAATGTGTAATGGAGTTCATCTGGCGAACATGTAAATAAGGCAATTTATTAAAAGCCATAGCTCCTTAGAAATAAAAGCCTTTCCTGGCAACTTCCAATTTGGCTTTCGGTAGCCGCAGACGTTGTTAGGCCCTACGAGTATTTTGTTGATGACTCATAATTTGAAAATAGTCATTAAATGATATGTATATCCACACCGGTTGCTGCAGTGTTGGTGTAATGTACTCAGGTGAATAAGATGCTTGTGTGATGTTACTCTGAGTGTATATCCACACCGGTGGTCACAGCGGATTTGGACTCCCCGCGGATATGGACCCCCCGGTCCATATCAGCTATGCAGTGTTGGTGTAATGTACTCAGGTGAATAAGATGCTTGTGTGATGTTACTCTGAGTGTATATCCACACCGGTGTCACAGCGGATTTGGACTCCCCGCGGATATGGACCCCCCGGTCCATATCAGCTAGCGGATTCGGACCCCTACGGTACATATCCGCTAGCTGATATGTACTCCCTTCCGCGGAATTGGACCCCCTAAAATTCACAAAAAGAAGTTTTGAAACGATTTGCAGTTGAATGTGCATGGAAATTTAGGCGTCAGTTTAATTTAAATTATGATAACTAATGGCATGACTCAACTATCTTGGAATTTGCTTAATGACGAAAACAAGTATTGAGATGCTAATTTTATAAAAGTTTAGGGTTGAATGGAATGCATCACTTTGTTATGGGTATGTTAAGCCAAAAATAATTTGAAATATATTTTCATTTTCCGTTTTTATTTGAGCAGTTAAGAGTCGGAGCACTGAGATAGCAATTCCAAGGAGTAAAATACTTGTGAAGGCTTCATGCGCTTCTCAGTTCTCGCACATTCCAAGATCATAGAAATAAACTCATGTAGCAGAAAAATTATAAATCATAAACATTGACGGAATTCTCTAATCTAAAAATGTAAGATTTGATGATCTAAAAATCTTCGTACGGTTTTTAAAATAAATCAGATGAGACTTATGACGATTTAAAACGCTTTCAGTACAATATTCAAAATACGATACGTTGCAATGATAAAATACGCGAGGGGTCCAAATTCGCGAGGGGAGTCCAAATCCGCTAGCGAATAAAGACCCCCATAGGTCCATACTCGCTAGCGGATATGGACTCCCCGGTCCATATTCGCTAGCGGATTTGGACCTGGGGGGTCCATTTTGAGGGGGGTCCAAATCTGCTGGGACACCTGTCAGGCCTGAAAAATATGCCTGGCCACGGTGGGAATAGAACCTACGATCTTTGGAATACTAGCCCAATAGCTAGTATTCCAAAGGTCGTAGGTTCGATTCCCACCGTGGCCAGGCATATTTTTCAGGTCTGCCCGGTGTGGATATACACTCAGAGTAACATCACATAAGCAAATCATTAAATGGTTCACATGAGAGATCATTTGAAGCATTAAAAGCCGCCATACCGCGTCAAAAATACGTGTCGAGTAAAAGTCACGTATATTTAAATCATCGTTTTCAATATTTAATCCATTTGCAATAATTTTCTTTGCCCGATTTTCCAAATCGACGAACTTTGATAACCATGAATCAGGTAGATCTAAAGTTACCATGATTAGATATCACAATATGTCATTAATGCAACAATCATAGACTGATAAATCATACGGGCAGTCTGGACTGTAAAAGAAGAATGTATTATGTATCTTCTTGAGCATTCTCAGTTTATTTGATGTTTTCTTGAAGGTTCTGTGCAGATACTGGCGGCGCAAGAGAAATCGGCCGTAGATCTTTATTAAATTCTTCGATGGTCTGATTTTTTGGTAAAGGGATGACATTGGCCGGCCTTTTTCCACATAGTAGGTAGAACTTGTTTTTGGACGGACGGACGGACGAATTAATTAGATAACATACTGGTTCAGCGAGAAGATGGGTAAAGGTTTTTAGAAACCAGTTGGGAATCTCATCTGAACCGGGTGCTTTAGATTCTTTGCTAACATTGTTCTTAGTTTTCTCTGAACAGATTCGATGGAAACTTTAGTCACTTCAATTTTACTACTAAGGGATAGTTTCGGGTAACTTTGCAAGGGTTCCAGAAAAGCCGAATTTATATCACTGGCCAGTTGAATTTTAGAATTGGTAGACGGCGATTCCATTTCCAGTAGTTTATTAACGATGCCGGTATTTGATTTTGCCATATACCACTGACAGATCTTTTTGCAGATCTACGTGTTTTAGATGTTCAATCTTGCTTTTGTAAAATTTCGATTTGATAATTTTTCTTTCACGGTTGACTTGATTATTACCGCTAACGATAAAATTTAAAAAGCAAGATGTTGTTTTCTTGCAAGGCTTTTTGACGATAGTGAATTAAGTCCTTAAGATATGGGGTCATCCAAGGGGCGGGGCTGCATAAAATATTTTATTTTCTGGGACCACAAAGCCAACAAAAATATTTTCTGCAGGCAAACACTGGGAATCTTTGTTTAAATTTGATCATCACTAAACAAGGTTCAGTGTATTCTATGCACCATTTCATTAGATATGAAACCAGAATAGACGTATTTTACCCTGCTAGCAGTGGTTTCTAGCTGAGCTGAAACCACTGCGAGCAAACGAACGATCGTTTCATTGTAGCCGCCGTCCAGATTCATGGACGAATACATTAAATGAGAAACCAGTAAAACAAGTTTGACAAGTTTTTGTTATTGTTCGCATGGGTAACTGCTTGGCACTGCTGGTAAAATGCGAGCCAGTTCCACTAAAACAACACGATCACGCTCTAAATATAGTAACAAGCCATAAATGTACTACCTTTTACAAAATATTATAACTTTACAAAATATTGAATTACAAAATATTGAATAAAATGTTTGAAATTATACATTAAGATGACTTGAAAACCGCCTATACAGTTCAAGAGAGTAACTATAAATTCACACACTGCAACAAAAATCAACACCTTTAAATTAACAGAAATAGTAGCGCCGTCGTGACGATCTTTCATCAGTTTAAATTTGTAGCGGTTGAGGTCGCGACGATCAAAAATTGCAATAATCAAAATCAACCGTAATTGGAAACATTATATTATTTGGAAACTTTGGAAATTGGAATTTATCGAAAACCTTAACACAAATAAAGTTTGCAGACCGAATTAAAAAAATTGATATTGATCAGATAAATACAAAAATTGAAAAAGATATAACAGAAATTCAAATGCACAATTTGTAGCCGTAGGGCGAGGCACCGATTTCAAAATCTTTGAGAAGTAAATTGTGAACTGCATGTAGAATAAAAAGTCAGACAGATAACAAAGAAAACAGTACTATGCCACGCTTGTTTACGTACAAATAACAAACTGTCAAACTACAGCAAAGGAAGTCAAATTAGTGTCGTCCCACCCTGTGATCTTCGTGCATGCTCGATAGACTAAGTCGTTTGTTT